TAAAAAAAATATGGAATTCCTAGTTGTATTATCCATTAGGGTATCGATATAGGACAAAGAAAAATTATCCTTAGGATTTGCTCTATTCAGATTTCGATAGTCGACACATATTCTCACTTTTTTATTTTTTTTGAAAATTGGCATTATGTTGGCTATACATTCAAGATATTTTACCACCTCTAAAAATCTTGCATCAAATTATTTTTTCACTTTTTTCTTAATTTTCAGTAGCATCTTCGGCTTCATGCGCCTTAACTTTTGTTATATTGACTTGCATTCTGGTTTTAAAAGTAACTTGTGTTTTATAATATTAGTGCTGAGTCCTGACATATCCTGGTAAGATCATGCGAATACATCCACATATTCTCGGAGCCACTCTTCTAACTTTTGTCTTTCAGTTGGTAAAAGGGATGTACCAACTTTGACTTTTTTCTATTTTCATCATCCTTTAAATTCACTAATTCGATAATTTTTTGGTAGAGCTTTATTAGCTTATCTTCATATTTTATTAATTTTAGCAAATCAAGAGGCAATGTGTAATTATCCAAATCTTTCTTATTATCAAGTTCATCAACATGAATAAAGTTTTCGAAATTAAATTCGAGATTATTGCCATGATTATCTTTGTGTTTATTATTTGGGACCCTGCAAAGGGTAAAATGAAGAGAATATTGGTATACAAAAATGGAATGGCAAGAAAATGATGGAAAGAGAAAATGAAAAGCAAAATGAAGATGATAACAATAGAAGAAATACAGATACATCTTTTAAGTCTTTTATTAAAATGATGAAGATAAAAACACCACAAAAGATCACCCAATACTCATAAAAGCAATTAGGGATTTAAAGTTTCATAATACATTACTTTTCAGAAGTTTTAAAGACAACGGGCAGTTCTATGACTCTCTAGTTATTTATTTGAAGGATAAGGGAGCACAAACAGCTTTTCATATCAACTTTTATTTTTTTCATCATCCACAATTTGAATGGCCAGTTTTGAAAATTTTTTCACGAATCATACACTTAGGTCTTCATGCAAATCTGGGTAAATATATTCTCCCGAACAAAAAGAATCATAGAGGTATGGAATGACCATAAGCTCTAACTCCAGCTCGTATCCCTCAAGATTAGTTATTTGCTTATCTTTTTTCTCATTCATCATTTTCATTCTATCCCCTTTTGTTGGCTTATATCCCAAGCCAAATTTGTCTTTTTTGTCGTATACTGTTGGTGGCTCTATGATTCTTTGCAAGTTCTTTCCTAGTCCAGTTTCAAGTTGTCATCCCATCTTGGTAAGTTGTTTGACAATAATTTTAGTTATCGTAGACAAGTGTGATGAATACAATTTAGATATTTCAGTCACATATGTTGCATTGGTAATCTCGAAAGAGTTATAAAAGTATTCTAGTACTTCATCTATTGATTTCACATAAGGAGTATTTATCGGTTGAGTTACCAATAAATCTTCTTTTCGTGCCACACATATTAGCTTTCCTTCAACAATGAATTTGACTTTCTGATGTAATGAGGATGGAATAGCACCTGCCATATGGATTCATGGCATACCCAATAAACAACTGTATGAAGGAGAGATGTCCATAACTTGAAATTTCAAATTAAAAGTGCATTGGCTAATTTGCAATGGGATTTTTATGTCTCCCAACATCTTTCTTTGGATTCCATCAAAGGCTCTCACTATCATATGACTAGGCTTTATATAAGATCCATCAACAAGGAGTTTCGTCATAGTAGTCACATGTATAATATTGATGGATGAGTCATTATCAATCAAAACTTTAGTCATTATATGATTTTTACATTTAACAGAAATGTGGAGGTCTTTGGTACTTCTTTGACCTTCAGGAGGAATTTTTCATCACTAAAAGAAATATAGTTTGAAATTGTTAGATTGCCAACAAGTTTCACATATTCAACAGAAACATTGTGAGACATATGCTTGATTTAGCACCTTCAGCAGAGCATTACGGTGCGACTCTGAGCTGAGCAATAATGACAATAGCAAAATTCTAGCTGGCATCTTGTTCAAATTGTTTTACCATATTATACTCGTTATGTTTTATTAGTTTTAAAAATTTACATGTTTTGCTTTTAGAGATCGACTTCTGACATTCTTTATCTGAGACTGCAACAGGATTATTCTGACTTTTTTTTCTCTCATCTTTGCTTTCTTTTTCCTGGCTTTCTCTAAAGCTTCTGGAGTATAACCTCTTCTACTTCGAGTCATACCTCTTACGTCCATTATGTTTGCAGTATCTGGATTGACTACGACATCAAAATCATGCTTTCACGGTACTATTTTATCATCTGATATGGAAAATGATCAGGAACTTTAATTGTCACTATTGGTCGAGAGATGGATTTTTCTAGCTTTGATGTTAGGTTTTCATCATAATAGATAGTTATCGATTTACGCATAAATCTATCAATGGTAGACACTTCAGCTTTCATCAACTATTCTCTCTCTTCGTGAAACTCTATTCGACCTATATCCATTAACTTTTACACCTCTTGACGGAATTAGTGACAACTCTCGATAAAATGCTCCAAAGCACCTCTGTGATAATTGCAGCTCTCAGTTGAATTAATCGCTTCAAAGTAATTCTGAGGTTCTATTGACTTCAACATGTCGATTTTGACTAATGTTTCAAACACTTTAGTCATAGGAGTTTTAACCTTTTCTATCCCTATTTTCACATAGCTTGCTTATCCATCAATCAAAGCATTTATCGATAGCCTAATGTGATTTGGTAGAGGGTTTTCATTAACATTTGGAGCTTCTCATTGGTTGGTTTCAAAATTTAACACCATTTTATTGATTAATGCTTGCACTTTACGCTTTAGGGCAATATAGTTTTCAGTAAAATGGCCTGAATTTTCATAATAATAATCACAATGTGCATTAGGGTCATACCATTTGGGATACGGAGGTTTCAAAGGCTCAACAATAATAGGGGCTAGTAAATGTTTCTCAATAAGTTGAGGGTACAAATTCGTATGTCATGAGAATAGGGTCAAAATTAATTTTTTCTTGAGGTGTTCTTGGGGCTCTTGGATCACTATTTGGACTAAGCCTCTATTCTAATTTGGCAGGTGTAGTAGGACGGTTGTAAAAATAGGTGGGTGTTCGACAAGATGACTGAAACTGAGGTGGATAAGCTGGTTGTGGTAATGGTTGGTATGACTGATACGGATGAGGAGTGAATGTAATATTATTTATGGGAGGGCAATGGGTTTGGTAGACTGGTGTATGGTAGGGCGTGAAACCTCTGAACTACTGCCCTATATAGTTCATCGCTTGAGTTTCATTTTTTTTTAAAGAATTCTACCTCTCGTTGCGCTGTTTTTTTCTCCTGCGTCAAGCTTGCCATTCTTTATAGCATTTTCAATAATCTCACCCGATATCACCATATCTGTAAAGTTCTTGGTTGCATTGTCTATCAGTCTTTCATAATATGATGCTTTTAGGGTATTCACAAATAAGACAGTTGTCTCTTTCTCGATAAGAGGAGATTGGACTTGTGCAGTCATATTTCTCCATCTTTGTGCATACTCTTTGAAGTCTTCAGTTGTTTTTTTTTTCATACTCTATAAAGATAGACTATCTGAAGCTAGATCCCTGACATGCTGATATTGTGTAAAATATTTTTGTGATTTCTTGTTAGGAATGAATACGAGTCCTATCTAGTTGAATATACCATCTGGCTGTAGATCTTGTAAAATTATCTTGAAATACGTGCATTAACTTTTCATCACGAGCATGTGTTGTCATCTTACGACAATACATAGTGATATGAGTCATTAGGCATTTTGTGCCATCATATTTTTTAAATTTAAAGACCTTAAATTTAGGTGAAATGATCACATCTGGGATCAAGCAAAGGTTGCTACATCCGTGGAGTCATAAAAATTCATTCTTTCTACGGCCCTAAGCCTTTCTTTTAATAACTTCATCTTCTCTTGGGCATTAGTGTCTTCTACTTTCTTGAGTGTCTTTATCCCTGACTTTCTCTTTCTGTAGGATAATCCAAATCAGGAACCAGGATTGGTTCGAGTGGTTTTTCTATTATAACAGGATTAGAAAAATTTTAGAACTGTTCTGGAACAAGTGCTGATGTCATTCTTGGATAAAGATTGGAATATCCACCAGGAGTAAGAATTTGCATTTTGGTTCCTTGAGAAGGTTAGGTTGGCTGCAGCTCAAATCTTGAGGGTTATATAGGATCCGTCATGTCTGGCGATTATTCTTGGAGATTAGGATTTCCTTTCACTATTTTTTTTTGTCAAGTTTTTTGAGCATATCCATTATTGTACTAAGATCTCCCCTTAGTTCTTCTTGAACTTTTTTGATTCTTTCAAATTAACTGACCTGTGCTTGTTCCATATTTCTTGTTTGAGTCCTAGTGTTGTAGGAATGACGAGTGGGTTGAGTCAAAATTTTTGAAGGGTGAGTTATTCTTCAACCTTTATTACCACAAAAGTTTTTTAGAAAAATTAGAATGTCATGTGTCAAAAATTTTATTTTTTGTTATTTTTTTGACAGAAAACAAAATGGTGTAGGTGATGCATGAATCCAAGTATGAAATATTTACTCTTTGACAAATTTCAACACTAAAAAGTTTTATTGATTCCATAAAACTTTGATTAAATAAGATTTATCATCTTAAAATTATATCCATAGAAGCGTTTGACTTGTTCATAATGGTATTTTACCTTGTCTAAAAAGTTTACTAGGCACTGTCCATATTCTTTTATGGGATTAACTTCTTGTCTTAATGCTTTTACTTTTTTAACCATCTCCCATGCTTTTTTTACTGCCTTACAAACTTGATTGGTTACATGCTCTATGTACTGTTGCCTCCTTAAATTTTTTGTTTTTCATATCATGCATCTCCTTTTGAATCATATGTGAAGATCCAATCTTTTTCTTTTTTCTGTCACTCATCTATTATTGCTGAAATATGGTTCTTGTGGTCTTGCAGTTGTAGCTCCAACCCTTGAATCATCCGGTGAAGTGATTTTTTTTCATTTAGTACTTCTAGGTATTTTTTTCTTTCTTTTGCAAGCATGGCTTTCAACCTTTCTTTTTTTTTTTTTGGCATTCCACCAATCTTGCTAAGGTTGTATAATATAATCCCTTCAAATTTTGACTTTCTTGAGAAATTTTGGTAGTTTTCTCTTGCTTTTCTTGAGTTTTATCCTTCCATTGGTTCATTTCCTTTCGGAGCTTATCCATTTCATGTTGCCAATTAAGGTAAGACTTGGTGATTTTTTCGATTTTGAATTAAATTTGTAATCTCTTATTTTCTTGGTGCAGATATTTCAAATCATTGTTGGTCACATATCGTTCTTTTATGATCTTTGTCAATCTGCTCCCTTGTATTTTTGCTTCATATTTAAATTGTCCCACCTTTTCGTGAAGTCTTAAATTTTTTTTTATTTTTTTTTTCAGCTTCTAATTCTTTCTTGATAAATTTAACTTCTGATAATTGCACTTTTGTTGAAAGATTTACTGATTGGTGTGAGTTATCATCAAGTGGAAGTATTATCTTTAGCTTGTTTTGCTTTCCAAATATGATAATCAATGGTAACTTTGTTAATAAGAGGCCCTAATCTCATTCTTCGTGTTTTCTTTCATACTTGTATCAATTGTTTCGAGGTTATTGATAGATTTGGCTCATCGTAAAGGAATTCTACTTGGACAGGCCATGAGTAGCAGGAACAAATTGCTTTGCACCAAATTGCCTAAGCCCAATCAACGGAGCGTAACTCATAATACCTTATAACCCTAACAACGGTATCCACGGCTCGTTTCCTTCATGAGACATCCAAGGCGTCATCCATTCAATTTCATCCTTGGTAAGCCTTCGTAAGAAAAGGACCTACTCTTATTTAATCTTCAATGTTGGCTTTCGACTTTTGCAGAACTCTTTAATTGGTGTTTTATTTTAAAGATACGGCTTTGAGAAAGTACTCTTCTCGCACTTGAAATGACTTATAACCCACACATATAATAGCAATGTACATCTTATGAACTGTGATTTTTCATTTTGTCGATAAAAATTCAATGACATGATGGTTTCAACTAGGACTACTGGAGTGGGATTAATTGTTTGGGTTTCAATTTGCTAAAAAAAGTCTATCACAGTTATTTCAATGTACCTTAAAGTCTTCAAAAATATTATCATACCATACAATGCTAAAACAAACGCATCCATACCTTGATCATCATTTAAATGTCCCTGAATGAAGTTTTAAAGAAAGTTCCAACGGATGCCGAAATGTTCACCTTTAAGCTTGCGAATGGATCAATGGTTTCCATTTTAACTCCCATAAGTTTGATCAACTTTTTGCGATAACCTGATTTCGACTTTTGAGTAAACACTTTATCTGGACACTGTAGTTCTGTTCCAAGCAAAATCGAATACTCTTTAATAGTTGGCACCAAATCTTCTTGATTAAAAGTGAAGCATTTATAGGATGGATCTCAAAACTGTATAACTGTCCTGATCGGTTATTCATCGATCACTACTGGAATGAGGGATGCAATCTGTCTATATTTCTTACAAAAGCTTTTTTTTCTTTTTTCATTTAACTGATCTTAGATGATGGTTAAGTCTTCTAAATCATTTTATGTGAGATCCAAATGCACCTTCTCGGGTAACTCAAACACATGATCGGTAGGCAAACAATCTTCACTCTTTTGGTGGGTTTCTTTTGACCAAACATGTACATTATGCGGTTTACATGAGACACTGACTGAAGATGAGCAAATTTATAGTTCTATGGGATCCATGAAAACTTCTTGGGAGAAATATGTCCTCGAGCAAATATCTCGATACAGAATTGTATGATATGATTAATGCAAAAAAAAAAAAATGAAACAAAATTGAGTTAGTGTGAGGATGTGGTTTGAGAAAAAAAAAAATTTTAGTTTTGAGATTATTTTTGTTTTGTTTTATATTACAAAACTTTTATTCTTAGGTATTTCCTACAAAAAGGTGGACGAGGCTTTACCTAAGGCTGATTTTTTAAGTTTATTACATGCTGGATTTGGATTGACACGTGTCTAAAAGTTTTCAAATTATTCTCAACTGTCATCCACGCTGGACTAGTGAGGGACATCGATCCTTACTCATTACAAGCTACTAACGGAAAGGGTTTAATTTGAGTGAAAGTATTTCGCTTATTATTATGGAGATTATCACCTTACGAGGGCATAGGTATTTTACTTCCTCCTATAAGAGACAGAGCTCGAGTATAGAACTCATGCATAAGATGCATTGTGTCATTGTGTGTGCAAATATATCCTAATTTATTGAAAGTAAAATATACAAAAAAATAAAGCATAAGAGGCATAGTAAAATAAATGTGAGGGAAATTTTTTTTTTTTGCTTTTTATTTGTTTTTTCTTTTACTTTTTTTTGTTAAAAGTGAAATAAAAATCTAAAAAACTGATTAAGGCTGTTTAAATCAAAATTTGAGAATAACACATAGTTAATTTTGACCTGACTCTTGAAAACAAATGGCTTCCCTAGTGGAGTCGTCAAACTGTCGTAACGATTTTGTGTCCACCCGACGAATTTAAAAATAAAATAAAAAATAACAGAGTCGTCACCAATCTTTTTTTGGTTAGATGCGATTGATCACCTATTAAAATATATCATTTTAATGAAATCTTAAAATTAATTAAAATTCTTTAAATGGATAATTTTAGGGTCTACGTAACAATCTGGGTTCAGGAGATGATTACGTGTGGGGAAGGATTAGCACAATACAACGCTCGTTTAAAACGGTACCAATTAACTATGTGTTATCCATTGATTCAATAAAAATAATCTTATTTTCGGTATTTAAAAAATAATTTTTTAAATAATTTCTCTGATTTTTCATTTATTAGAAATTATTTTTTAATGTATTTTTTAGTGCTCAAATTTTATTCGAGAAAAATAAATTAGAACCTTTTTATCAAAATAACTCTTAAAATATTTTATTACGTTGATAACATTAGAAGAATTTTTTTTTCACCTAGAGATTTTTTAAATATCGTTTCTCAGAATATCTTAAAATCTCATCATTGGAGGCTTAAATTTACTTTTTGTAAAAAAGTTATGTCGTGCATGCAATGCAAATTGTTACCATATTGATGCACATATTTTATTCTCTTTTTTAGAAAATTTATTGATTATTTTATTAATTTTTATTTTTAATTTAAATTTTTGAAGAAAAAAAGAATTTTCATTATATTAAAATTTTTTATAAATATTTCAACACACTGGTAATATTTAAAAAAAGATTTTTTACCTAGAGATTTCGTAGGCATCATTACTCGGAGTATCTTTAAATCTCATTGTCGGATAAAATTTTTCTTTTCTTACATTTTTATTATTTTTGTATTATTTTTATTTAATTAAATTTTTTTACCAATTATTTTATAAAATTTATTCAAAATTATCAAAAATTTTTATTATTTATTTTTATAAAATAACAAAATTTTATTCTAGTAAATGTAAATATTTTAATATGCATAAATAGTAATAATTAACATGCATAAATATTAAGAATAATAATTAAAATAACAAAAATAATACATAAAAAATTCTAAAAAATTTTTTTTTACCTAAATTGGATAGGTCAACGGTCCGATCAATGAACAGTTTGGTCCGGTGTCAGCGATTCGATCTGGTTAGGGTAATTTGGTTAAGCGGTTTGGGATAGTTCGATTTGGCCTGGGTCAGTTCATATGGATCGATCAGAGGGTGAAGGAGAAGTAGGTCTTCAAGTCGGGTGTGCGGACCTCGAGTCGGGTCACAGGTTGAAGCTCGGATCCTCAGGGCTCAAAACGATGTCATTTTGGACGTTTATTGAAACGTGGTCGTTTTGGCTATTGGCAGCTTATATAAAAGCCCAAAATTTTTTTTCAGCCATTCTCTCATCTCTCACATAAAAAACTTTTTTTTTTCTTCAGCCAAAACGTAAGTGGCCAATCGGTTGTCGCCATCGCTGTCGTCACCGATCATTGGTCGTCGTTGTCGGTGACTGAGAAAAGCCAAAATCACCTATAATGTTCTCTGTAACCCCCTAAACATAGATCCAACCTCTGTTTCATCTAAAAGTATCCCAAACGACGCAGATCTAGCCTGAAAGTTTAGGTTAATTTTTTTTTTGTGTTTGTGTTGTTTTTGTTTTTATTTTTTTTTTTGTATTGGCGCTGAGTTCTCTTACCTTAGGGATCGTGTTTCTGGATTTTTTTCTTTTTTTTTTAAATTTTTTTGCAGGGTATCTTTTTTTATAGAAAGTTTTTTTTTTGAAATTTTTTTTTTGTAAATTTTTCTACCCCTCTTCCCTTTTCTTGCAGATAACAAGCTTTATTTATAGAGCTTTTTGGGATTCAAATCTTATATTTTCTGGGATTTGAATCCCATATTTTCAACCCAAAATTCAAATTGTCAAGTTAGGTAATGTGCCAGGCGACTGCCGGTAGTGGTGGCGGCTGGCATTTTGGACTTTGGTGATTATGCATTTAATGCACTAGATCTTGTCAAACTGAACCAGATAAGGAAAGAAGAAGAAGGAAAAAGAAAGAAAGAAAAATAAAAAAATAATAATGATAATAAAAAAATGGTGTTTACAGGTCCCTATACTCATCGAATTTTAGGAATTTAGTCCTTGTAGTATTTTTTTTTTTTAAGGATTTTAATCTAATTGTTAACATTGTTAAATTTTATCCATTAAATGGTTGATATGGCTACTGATGTGGCATTTTCTTTGGTTTTTAACATTGTTAATGCTAACGTATATTACAAATTCTAGTCACGTGGACTATAAAAAATCTATGTCTACCATTTCTTGAACTAAACAATATCTCATCATCATTAAAAAAACTATAAAAAAAATGAAAAACTATAAAAAAAAGATTGAAAACTTGAGTTGAAGAAATTCTTTATGCTAATAAGAATCATAACCCTAATCAGAATTCCACTTTGACGATTCAGAATCCAAATCTTTAACCCTAATATGAATCCCACATAGATGATTCAACATTCCTTACTTGCTGCTTGTTGGTTTCTCTATTACTTTCCGGCACTTATTCGCACTTCTTCATGTTTTCAAACAAGAACAGGTTAGACGATTCAACATTTCTCACTTGATTTCCTCATATTCTTCACTTCATTGCATTTTAAGTACACTTTCGTTTATTTTTTTCTTCTTGAAATTTTTACAAAACTGAAAAGGGATTTTTTTGAAAATCCTAAACCTTTATTTGTACATTGAATGCACTGGGTTGACAAGTTAGGGGTATACTCTTAATAAATGTGTTTGCTAAATATTTAAACTTTTAGTTAGCAATAGTGGATTGTAGTGGTGTGGTCTTGTTGTTGTCTGTTATGTTTTGTCTGGTTCTATGGCCTATTTGTCTGTTGTATGGGCCATTGAATATAATTATTGCATAGTTAAATTAATATTAGGGCATAATTATGGAATTTGCTTGCAATGTACCAGCAACATTGGTTTCTATATAATTTCATTATGTATGTGTACCATTTGTTGCACACTAGTTGTTTGGTTAACTATAGACATTTATTTATTTTATTTTGATGTTAGGGTTTAAGGTTAGAATGACTTGGGAACCATGTTAAGCATGGTACCACCATAGGGGACAATTCAAAAGAAGCGTAATTCAATTAGATATGTGAATGGGTCAATGATTGAATTTAATGAGGATTCTGATCATATTTGTTATTGGACAATATTAGGAGCTGTGGAGAGTTTAGGTTATGATTTAGGGCATAAGGTGAAAATTTACTTTATGGAGTCTAGTAAAATATTAAAAACAGGCTTGAAGTTATTAGCAGAAAATGATCACAATATGGTAGATTTGGCTGCTCAATTAAAGATGGGTAGGCTTATAGATATTTTTGTAGAACACTTGGATTTCAAACTTGATAATGACATAACAAATGCTCTGATTTGAAACCAATTCCAAATGATGATGATGATGAGGTTGTTGTGATTGGCAGTAATGAACCTAATATACAAGTAAGGCCTCCTACACTTATATTAGTTGATTTTCATAGAGGTTTAAGAAGGGAGAAGTCAGATAAGGAAGGGGATGAAGTTAATGATGCTAATGATGATAATGAAGTTACTATTGAAGGTGTAGGGTCTGTTGAGGGATGTAATGCAAGGGAAGTCAATGTGAATCAAGTTAATGACGTTAATTAAGTTACTGTTGAGGGTTTAGTGTCTGTTAAGGGATTTAATGCAAGTGAAGTGAATGTGAATGAAGTTAATGATGCTAATAATGTTAATGTTGAAGGTTTAGGGTCTATTGAGGGATTTAATATAGGTGAAATCAATGAGAATTATGGCAATGTTAATGATGATTTTGTAGCTGATGATGAAAACTAGGCAGAATGTTAAAGTTTACGTTGAAAAGAAAATTGGTTTTTGTGATAGCAAATCAGATGGTGAATTAAATGTTGAATCAAATGAATCAAATGGTGGTAAAGTTGTTAGAGGTAAAGTTGAATCTGTAATGCCAAACATTGATGTTGATGGGTACATGAGTGATTACTTTGATTAATCAAACTTTGGCAGTTACAGTAACACCAGTGATGGGTCTGATAAAGACAATTCCCTGAGAATGTATTTTAGTAACACTTATTATAATCCCAGGGTGCATTTTGAAGATTTTGTGCTTGGGTTTAGATTTGAGAATTTAAATTTATTTAAGAAAGTACTTTGTGATTTTTCTATAAGAAAAGAGTTTGAATTCAAGTACAAAAAAAATGATAAAATCATAGTTAGAGTTGCATGTAATGCCTAA